GACATACTGGGTTCATATATCAATCAAACAGATCGCAACGCACCATAAAATAGGAAAGAACATTTATACACAATAAAGCCAAAAAGTGACTGTGAACGTGGGAGGCAGTAGTCAATAAACTGAACGTAGCTTAACAACCGTAAATCGTACAATAATAAATTATAGATCAAAGTAAAGCTTATAATAAAAGGAATATAACTATACATAATCTAATTATACAATAGTTGTACCATAAGAATATATATAGATAATATTAGTCCATTATTAGGTCTCAGAAGTTACTCGTGATTTAATCTTTTCTCGGATATAACAAGTTCAACCAGGTCTGTTGTGAGATGGTAACTCACTAAAGTCAATGATGGATGTATCGCTCAATTTTGTGGATTAGTTGAAGTTAAACATTAATACCACTGGATACCATCTCAGTGATCTAGAGCTTAAGCGTTCGCGTGCGAGTACGATAGATCCTGGGTTCGAATCTCACGAGGCAGGATCGTTAACACACACTGCTGAAGAGTCCTACAATAAAACGAAACGGCCGCCAATTACTTTCAGGTTTTCCATAGTGGTCTAGCTTCAACTGATTCATGATATCAACTATTGAAATTAATACAATCTCCACAAAAAAATCTTCACAAACTGACTAGTTATGTGTTTTAAGCCAAGATGGATAGTGACTAGCAGTAGAATTCAGTTAGACAAGAGTTTCGTCCTATTTAGGGCTCGTCAGTTGTATATACTTACATTAACTAGTTACTACTATGAAAACTATTATATCTTATCTACACTGGGTTATTTATAGTTTTCGTTTTTTTTTCTTAACTTATAGATGTAAAAATTTAATTGATACCCTTAAAACAGAAACGTTTGATGAATGGATACAAAAAAAAAATTAAAAAAAAAAGAAAAAAAAAGGAACCATTGGACATTTCAACGGGTAATGTCTAGCGGAAAGAGATTTTTTCGCTTGATTGCTTAAATGATAATTCTTATTTTTTCCCAAAAAAGAATAATCCCTTTTTATAATATACCTTTTAAAATTTATTTATAGGAGATAATAAATGGCGGGGGAGTTTTGGGGAATATTATAATCTGGAGAGAGAATATGTTCAACGTTAAAGAGTTTGATTGTGAAGCTGGGTGACATGAGATCCTGTTGACTACCTCCAACCATCATCTAAATCTCATTACATAGTGCCCGCAGTGTCGAGTCACCTAGACTGGTGGCCACATTGCAACATGATCGATAGCATTCGATCTGCACTAACAAGGACTAGACAAGCATGAGATTGATCACCACCCAGTGATCAATCAATTGTGATTTAATGTTGATTGGATGACCTATTTAGTATACAGTTAACCAGTGAATCATGTCCTTAATTCTATTCAATAGTTTTGATGTTTGATTATATTTCGTTGAAAAAGCTGAAGCAAATTGTGAGGCAAAATGTTGTGTAAATCACCAGTGTAGATGATCTACGTCGAATGATTGAGGGCCTATTAAATTAAGAAAGAAAAGGTGTGATGAACCAGCTAATATCGAAGTCACACCTTGCGGTCAGCACCTTACGTGGATTGCTCCATCAACTTATCGAGGTACTATAGATGCTTTGAAGACTGTACAACACAAAGGACTTTATTACAAAAATATATTAGTTAAAGTAGGTACAAGCGAATGTAAGACTACCGCCTCATGGGCCACTCCATGTCGTACGATTAAATGACGTGCGTTAGTCGTCCTTGACTTTGACGGTGATCGATGGTCGGTTCGATATTCAGTGACCCAACTACCGAATGACTAGGCTAAGGATTAATGACATTTCATTGTCCCTACAGTTGGATTTACTTCAAGCTCATTCACTGAGATTTTCCAAATACATTCTTCCTTCTTATTGCATTATATCAACTCAGTACCCAAATACTGTTAAACTACTTCGATCAAATTTCTTATATGATTTGAGATATTTGAGTAAAGCAATCTGAGTTATTTCTTTGAAGGAACTCGAACAAATTTCCCATGTGAAACTTTAGAGTTATTATTTATTTATTTATTTGAACACATAAATATTGGTAAAAAGGGGCACTGGATACATATGCGCCACACAAGTCACTTGGTTTGTGTGTGGGCTGTGATACTGACTGGGTGACCAGACTGAAGCTAGTGGTTTTCTTAGCCATACCCTGAGCCTTCGACCTAAAAATCTTATCCACAATTCAGTGGAACAACGTAAGGTGATGCATTCACATGGTAGCCAGTCACCAACGATTGGTCCATACACCATTTATTCCTTCAGGATTTTGAAGTCCATGTGAACTATTAGTTTGACATGAAGGTTTTCCAACTCTCCTGGATGGACCCTCTGCGTCCACTAATCCGGTTAAAGCTGCTGTTGAATATTCGCATTTCGTCCTTTCAATTTCGTAAACAACACCGATGGTGTGAGAAAGCATTGAGTAGTATTTTCCTGACAGTGGTTCTATGCACACGGTCATGTGAGAGCATTTGAAGAGGGGGAGCTAACTCTCCTCACCCTCTGTCGTACCATGACATGTAAAGGCTTAAATTTCCATTATACATTTTATTTCAATCTAAATTTTTTGTCTCATTCTCCTTACTATGTGGTCTGAAAAAGTATTACACCTATACAATCTTTCATACTTCTTTGCATATACATATACATCTATAGCGACTCACGTGCTAATGGGTTTATTTTCATTTAACCCAGTTAAGCCCTTTTTGTTAACTTATTTAGCGGACAAAGCCATCCGCGCTATAACAATTTATTGTATCCTTATTATTATTTTGCGCTTGTATGAAATACGTATGCTTGAATATTGATTACTGCCTACGCATTTATTCACTCTGCTAATCTTACCACTAACCGCTTATTCGATTCGATTACTCATTCATTTCACATGGTATATATATATGTCCATGTTATTCATATTGAACACAATCGCTCACTCGCTCGCACGGTCTCGTCACGCTCTTGCTCTGGCTCTCGTTCGCTTGCTTGCCTTTCGGCACAACTCTTCCATGCTTGTTTAACACATCTGTACATTTGGATATATGTGTGTGGTTTCTCAATAAACGTAATCGACACTTCGTATTTGCCTTCTGATTAATATACCGTTGGTACGTTATATAGAACGGTTATCGCGACGAACTGTATACGAAGTTTAAGGATTATATCAAATACCGACCACCACATAATTGGCGATCCCGACGCGCGAACACGAAACAATCTTGAACGACGTAATCCAATTCCTAAAATCCAACGTACTCGATTACAATTGTAACTATCATTTGGATTATAATTATAACTGTGGATTTATTATCTCATTATTTTAATTATACGTACATTATCTCACAAACATTATAGAACATAACGATAATATTCATAATAAACAACGATATTTTTACAAACAATTGATATTTTGGTGCAATTTAGTAAGTCCGTTCTTTGTTATAAATTGTACCATTTGTTTTTATCATTGTTTTTATCGACTCACTTTTCTCTGTGACATTCGCATTATATTTGTGTAATTTTTTTATCTTTATGAATATGTCTTTAAGCAACGATACAATAGAACTTTCCCAAATGCCGTCCGTGAGGTCTATTAATGTAACTATTCCTCCTTTTAAGGTCACAGATCCGCAACTTTGGTTTACCAGACTTGAACATTACTTTGTAGCTAATCGTGTTCATACACAGCGAGATAAATTTGGCCACGCGAGCTCGCTACTTCCAGATGAAGTAGCAGATAATGTACGAGAGATTTTAATCAAGCCAGACATAGAAAAGCCATACGACGCATTAAAACAGGCAGTGATTAAAGCCGTCTCATTAAGCGACCGGCAAGCCATCGAACAGCTTCTCAGTCAAGTACAGATAGGAGATAGGACTCCATCGCAGTTAAAAAACTATATGAGAAGCGTAATCGGAGACAGAAAAGTAGATGAAAACATATTTTATCAGTTGTGGTTACGACGACTCCCAGCGAACGTGCAGCAGATCCTTGCGGTTGAGGACAGCGATGTCGATATAGACAACATTGCTAAAATAGCCGATAGGATTTATGAGAGAATGAAACAAACGAGTCCGCAAGGGCATAGTACCGCAATAGATGGACGAATCGATGCATTACAAAAGGAGATTAATGTTTTATGTCACAAGCTGATGAAACTAAATCAGAGCGATACGCAAAGAGGATGGTCACGAAGTAGATCAAGGGAAAGAAGTCGATCACGTTCTAGGAGACGCTCAGCTCCTACAATATGTTGGTACCATCAAACTTTCGGCGATAAAGCCCGAAACTGTAGATCACCATGTAAATTCAAACGAACACACCGATTGTCGATAAACGCCGCAACAACTACAACAGCTCCTAGAAACAGTCGTTTATTTTACGTTCAGGATAGAGTAACAGGCGCTCAATTCTTAGTGGATACGGGAGCAGAAGTAAGCGTCGTGCCTCCAGTAAGTAACGAAACACGAAATATCGATACAGCGCTAACGCTTAAGGCAGCAAATAAATCCGATATAAAAACATATGGCAAGCGAAAAGTAACCTTGAATTTCGGTCGTACTACCTCATTCCGCTGGGAATTCATTATCGCAGAAGTATCCGTACCTATAATCGGTATTGATTTCTTAAAGAATTTTGACTTACTAGTGGATACCCGACGAAACCGGCTCGTGAACGGCGACCATTCAGTAGTGATAAGAGGAGTGACGACTGATCACGCATCCATGAATTTAGTAGTGTCAAAAGACAAAAACGAGCCATATAGATCGCTTCTAAACGAGTATGCCGATCTGACGAAGGTATCATACGATAACAGAGATCTTAAACATACGGTACAGCACCATATTATAACGAAAGGTCCACCGACTAAATCAAGACCACGAAGGCTAGACCCGAAAAGGTTGAATGTCGCGAAACGAGAGTTCGAAAAGTTGACGAAGCTTGGTATCATAAGACCTTCTAATAGTCCCTGGGCGTCCCCATTGCATATGGTTTCGAAGAAGAATGAGGAAATCAGGCCATGTGGAGACTATAGAGCCCTTAACAAGCAAACGATAGCGGACAGATATCCGATACCACATATCCACGACATTACTACCAATATGGAAGGTGCCACGATATTTTCGAAAATCGATCTCGTTCGAGCTTATTACCATATTCCCGTAGCGACAGAAGATATAGCTAAAACGGCTATAATTACTCCATTTGGGTTATTTGAGTTTTTGCGAATGCCCTTCGGATTAACTAATGCAGCCCAAACCTTCCAACGATTCATCGATCAGGTCGTCAGGGGTTTGACAGGAGTTCACGCTTATATCGATGATATACTAGTAGCTAGCTCTACCAGGGAAGAACATCTACAACATCTACGACAATTGTTTACGAGACTTCAAGAACATGGCGTCACTATTAACGTGGAAAAGTGTGAATTTGGAAAGGAATCATTGCAATTCCTAGGTCATATGATAAATTCACATGGTATCACGCCAGTTCCGACAGAAGTTGCTGCTATTCGTAATTATCCGTTGCCCGATTCACAAAGAAAATTACGAAGATTCTTGGGGCTAATAAACTATTATAGACGATTTATCCCAAACTGCGCAGCAATATTACAGCCATTGACGGACGCCTTGCGAGGACATACTCGAACATTCCGTCTTTCAGCGGACGCTATACAGGCTTTCGAGGACGCTAAGCGAGCGCTAAATGAGAAGATGATGTTGGTACGACGAAAGAGCGAAGCACCATTAGCAGTAATGACAGACGCATCGAACTTAGCAGTAGGAGCCGTTTTGCAGCAGTTAGTAAACGGTGTATGGGAGCCACTTTCATTTTTCTCGAAAAGATTAAATCCTACCCAAACGAGATATAGTACGTTTGGACGAGAATTATTAGCAATCTACTTAGCAATAAAACACTTCCGTCATATGGTCGAAGGCATAAGTTTTACCGTCTATACAGACCACAAACCGCTAACGAAAGCATTAAACGCAAAGCAAGACAATTATTCTCCGAGAGAGATCCGACAACTAGAGTTCATTTCACAGTTCACGTCCGACATACAGTACGTTAAAGGACAAGAAAACGATGTGGCCGACGCATTGTCACGAGCAACGATAAGCACACTTATGGCAAGTGGAATTGATTATATTGGTCTAGCAAAGTTGCAGGAGAGAGACATCGAGCTAAATAAACTCAGATCCGGAGGTTCAACATCATTAGTACTCGAAGAGGTGCGGTTTGGTAACACGAAAGTAATTTGCGATACATCAACAGGCCGACCGCGACCATTTATCCCGAAAACGTTGCGACACAAAATATTCGAAAGCATGCACAACATGTCGCACCCAGGAATAAAAGCCACGATAAAGCTGATTAGTGAACGATTCGTATGGACAAACATGAATCACGATGTACGTAGTTGGACACAAGCATGCATGAAGTGCCAAAAAGTGAAGGTACATCGTCATACTAGCTCTGCAGTAGGTCCGTTTTCGCACCCAGACACTAGATTTGAACATATACACATCGATATCGTAGGACCACTGCCCGTTTCAAATGGATACAACTATATCTTTACATGCATCGATAGGTTTACACGATGGCCGGTAGCAGTGCCGATAAAAGACACCTCAGCTGAAATGGTAGCTAAAACCCTAGTTGAAAATTGGATTTCTTACTACGGTGTACCAACGATTATCACAACGGATAGAGGAGCACAATTTGAAAGTCGACTCTTTCAGCAGCTTACTGAACTCCTCGGTATTAAACGAATCCGAACGACGTCGTACCATCCAATGGCAAACGGAATGGTTGAACGCCTACATAGGCAATTAAAAGCGTCCCTTACAGCTGTCATCGTTAACAACGATTGGTCTAATAAACTTCCCCTAGTAATGTTAGCTCTACGAGCAACAATTAAACAAGACATGGGATGTTGTCCAGCCGAGTTAGTTTACGGAACTACTCTACGATTACCCGGAGAATTCTTCACTTCAAGTAAAAATGTCCCGACTGATGTAACCGGCTATGTGCAACGTCTGAGAAAGCACATGAGCGATTTAAAAATAACACCTCCCAGACCACAACAACGACGGGTATTCATACCACAGGAACTACATAACAGCTCTCACGTATTCATCAGAAGAGATAAAGTACAACCACCTCTTCAACCGAGTTACGACGGACCATTTAAAGTGATAGAGAGGACAAATAAAACGGTTACCGTAGAAAAAGCTGGGAAGACAGATGTAATTAGCATCGATCGAGTAAAGCCAGCTTTTATCGATAGCGATATTCAATCAACAAGTACAGACTCATCTAAGATGGTCATACCAGCGAAACACGAGTCCCAAAAATCAACAACGTTAACGCAACAAAAAGACAAGACTCCGATAACAACAAGATCCGGCCGTAGAGTAAGATGGCCCCAACATTATGTCGCTACAATTTTCTATTAATAATAATCTACTATTTGGAATATTAATTATAACTTCTACTTCATCGTATACACATGCATTATTAAGCTCATGTTATGCGCTATAAAACTCAACGTATCTTATGTACCCTTACACTTATGCGTATAATTTTTGTTTAAAATGTAAAGACAATACCGCTTTCCTTCTATTTCTTGCTATTATTTTATGTAACCTCACGGACGGGCGCAAACCAAATGTACAGCACACACCAACTTCATCTTAATTTTGTATAAGCCATTTTTCTACCCTATTCAGTCTATTATTTTTTTTATGCAAACACAGACATTTTCCATATATCTTTGTTTGCAGGGGGGAGCTATTATAGCGACTCACGTGCTAATGGGTTTATTTTCATTTAACCCAGTTAAGCCCTTTTTGTTAACTTATTTAGCGGACAAAGCCATCCGCGCTATAACAATTTATTGTATCCTTATTATTATTTTGCGCTTGTATGAAATACGTATGCTTGAATATTGATTACTGCCTACGCATTTATTCACTCTGCTAATCTTACCACTAACCGCTTATTCGATTCGATTACTCATTCATTTCACATGGTATATATATGTCCATGTTATTCATATTGAACACAATCGCTCACTCGCTCGCACGGTCTCGTCACGCTCTTGCTCTGGCTCTCGTTCGCTTGCTTGCCTTTCGGCACAACTCTTCCATGCTTGTTTAACACATCTGTACATTTGGATATATGTGTGTGGTTTCTCAATAAACGTAATCGACACTTCGTATTTGCCTTCTGATTAATATACCGTTGGTACGTTATATAGAACGGTTATCGCGACGAACTGTATACGAAGTTTAAGGATTATATCAAATACCGACCACCACATAATTGGCGATCCCGACGCGCGAACACGAAACAATCTTGAACGACGTAATCCAATTCCTAAAATCCAACGTACTCGATTACAATTGTAACTATCATTTGGATTATAATTATAACTGTGGATTTATTATCTCATTATTTTAATTATACGTACATTATCTCACAAACATTATAGAACATAACGATAATATTCATAATAAACAACGATATTTTTACAAACAATTGATATTTTGGTGCAATTTAGTAAGTCCGTTCTTTGTTATAAATTGTACCATTTGTTTTTATCATTGTTTTTATCGACTCACTTTTCTCTGTGACATTCGCATTATATTTGTGTAATTTTTTTATCTTTATGAATATGTCTTTAAGCAACGATACAATAGAACTTTCCCAAATGCCGTCCGTGAGGTCTATTAATGTAACTATTCCTCCTTTTAAGGTCACAGATCCGCAACTTTGGTTTACCAGACTTGAACATTACTTTGTAGCTAATCGTGTTCATACACAGCGAGATAAATTTGGCCACGCGAGCTCGCTACTTCCAGATGAAGTAGCAGATAATGTACGAGAGATTTTAATCAAGCCAGACATAGAAAAGCCATACGACGCATTAAAACAGGCAGTGATTAAAGCCGTCTCATTAAGCGACCGGCAAGCCATCGAACAGCTTCTCAGTCAAGTACAGATAGGAGATAGGACTCCATCGCAGTTAAAAAACTATATGAGAAGCGTAATCGGAGACAGAAAAGTAGATGAAAACATATTTTATCAGTTGTGGTTACGACGACTCCCAGCGAACGTGCAGCAGATCCTTGCGGTTGAGGACAGCGATGTCGATATAGACAACATTGCTAAAATAGCCGATAGGATTTATGAGAGAATGAAACAAACGAGTCCGCAAGGGCATAGTACCGCAATAGATGGACGAATCGATGCATTACAAAAGGAGATTAATGTTTTATGTCACAAGCTGATGAAACTAAATCAGAGCGATACGCAAAGAGGATGGTCACGAAGTAGATCAAGGGAAAGAAGTCGATCACGTTCTAGGAGACGCTCAGCTCCTACAATATGTTGGTACCATCAAACTTTCGGCGATAAAGCCCGAAACTGTAGATCACCATGTAAATTCAAACGAACACACCGATTGTCGATAAACGCCGCAACAACTACAACAGCTCCTAGAAACAGTCGTTTATTTTACGTTCAGGATAGAGTAACAGGCGCTCAATTCTTAGTGGATACGGGAGCAGAAGTAAGCGTCGTGCCTCCAGTAAGTAACGAAACACGAAATATCGATACAGCGCTAACGCTTAAGGCAGCAAATAAATCCGATATAAAAACATATGGCAAGCGAAAAGTAACCTTGAATTTCGGTCGTACTACCTCATTCCGCTGGGAATTCATTATCGCAGAAGTATCCGTACCTATAATCGGTATTGATTTCTTAAAGAATTTTGACTTACTAGTGGATACCCGACGAAACCGGCTCGTGAACGGCGACCATTCAGTAGTGATAAGAGGAGTGACGACTGATCACGCATCCATGAATTTAGTAGTGTCAAAAGACAAAAACGAGCCATATAGATCGCTTCTAAACGAGTATGCCGATCTGACGAAGGTATCATACGATAACAGAGATCTTAAACATACGGTACAGCACCATATTATAACGAAAGGTCCACCGACTAAATCAAGACCACGAAGGCTAGACCCGAAAAGGTTGAATGTCGCGAAACGAGAGTTCGAAAAGTTGACGAAGCTTGGTATCATAAGACCTTCTAATAGTCCCTGGGCGTCCCCATTGCATATGGTTTCGAAGAAGAATGAGGAAATCAGGCCATGTGGAGACTATAGAGCCCTTAACAAGCAAACGATAGCGGACAGATATCCGATACCACATATCCACGACATTACTACCAATATGGAAGGTGCCACGATATTTTCGAAAATCGATCTCGTTCGAGCTTATTACCATATTCCCGTAGCGACAGAAGATATAGCTAAAACGGCTATAATTACTCCATTTGGGTTATTTGAGTTTTTGCGAATGCCCTTCGGATTAACTAATGCAGCCCAAACCTTCCAACGATTCATCGATCAGGTCGTCAGGGGTTTGACAGGAGTTCACGCTTATATCGATGATATACTAGTAGCTAGCTCTACCAGGGAAGAACATCTACAACATCTACGACAATTGTTTACGAGACTTCAAGAACATGGCGTCACTATTAACGTGGAAAAGTGTGAATTTGGAAAGGAATCATTGCAATTCCTAGGTCATATGATAAATTCACATGGTATCACGCCAGTTCCGACAGAAGTTGCTGCTATTCGTAATTATCCGTTGCCCGATTCACAAAGAAAATTACGAAGATTCTTGGGGCTAATAAACTATTATAGACGATTTATCCCAAACTGCGCAGCAATATTACAGCCATTGACGGACGCCTTGCGAGGACATACTCGAACATTCCGTCTTTCAGCGGACGCTATACAGGCTTTCGAGGACGCTAAGCGAGCGCTAAATGAGAAGATGATGTTGGTACGACGAAAGAGCGAAGCACCATTAGCAGTAATGACAGACGCATCGAACTTAGCAGTAGGAGCCGTTTTGCAGCAGTTAGTAAACGGTGTATGGGAGCCACTTTCATTTTTCTCGAAAAGATTAAATCCTACCCAAACGAGATATAGTACGTTTGGACGAGAATTATTAGCAATCTACTTAGCAATAAAACACTTCCGTCATATGGTCGAAGGCATAAGTTTTACCGTCTATACAGACCACAAACCGCTAACGAAAGCATTAAACGCAAAGCAAGACAATTATTCTCCGAGAGAGATCCGACAACTAGAGTTCATTTCACAGTTCACGTCCGACATACAGTACGTTAAAGGACAAGAAAACGATGTGGCCGACGCATTGTCACGAGCAACGATAAGCACACTTATGGCAAGTGGAATTGATTATATTGGTCTAGCAAAGTTGCAGGAGAGAGACATCGAGCTAAATAAACTCAGATCCGGAGGTTCAACATCATTAGTACTCGAAGAGGTGCGGTTTGGTAACACGAAAGTAATTTGCGATACATCAACAGGCCGACCGCGACCATTTATCCCGAAAACGTTGCGACACAAAATATTCGAAAGCATGCACAACATGTCGCACCCAGGAATAAAAGCCACGATAAAGCTGATTAGTGAACGATTCGTATGGACAAACATGAATCACGATGTACGTAGTTGGACACAAGCATGCATGAAGTGCCAAAAAGTGAAGGTACATCGTCATACTAGCTCTGCAGTAGGTCCGTTTTCGCACCCAGACACTAGATTTGAACATATACACATCGATATCGTAGGACCACTGCCCGTTTCAAATGGATACAACTATATCTTTACATGCATCGATAGGTTTACACGATGGCCGGTAGCAGTGCCGATAAAAGACACCTCAGCTGAAATGGTAGCTAAAACCCTAGTTGAAAATTGGATTTCTTACTACGGTGTACCAACGATTATCACAACGGATAGAGGAGCACAATTTGAAAGTCGACTCTTTCAGCAGCTTACTGAACTCCTCGGTATTAAACGAATCCGAACGACGTCGTACCATCCAATGGCAAACGGAATGGTTGAACGCCTACATAGGCAATTAAAAGCGTCCCTTACAGCTGTCATCGTTAACAACGATTGGTCTAATAAACTTCCCCTAGTAATGTTAGCTCTACGAGCAACAATTAAACAAGACATGGGATGTTGTCCAGCCGAGTTAGTTTACGGAACTACTCTACGATTACCCGGAGAATTCTTCACTTCAAGTAAAAATGTCCCGACTGATGTAACCGGCTATGTGCAACGTCTGAGAAAGCACATGAGCGATTTAAAAATAACACCTCCCAGACCACAACAACGACGGGTATTCATACCACAGGAACTACATAACAGCTCTCACGTATTCATCAGAAGAGATAAAGTACAACCACCTCTTCAACCGAGTTACGACGGACCATTTAAAGTGATAGAGAGGACAAATAAAACGGTTACCGTAGAAAAAGCTGGGAAGACAGATGTAATTAGCATCGATCGAGTAAAGCCAGCTTTTATCGATAGCGATATTCAATCAACAAGTACAGACTCATCTAAGATGGTCATACCAGCGAAACACGAGTCCCAAAAATCAACAACGTTAACGCAACAAAAAGACAAGACTCCGATAACAACAAGATCCGGCCGTAGAGTAAGATGGCCCCAACATTATGTCGCTACAATTTTCTATTAATAATAATCTACTATTTGGAATATTAATTATAACTTCTACTTCATCGTATACACATGCATTATTAAGCTCATGTTATGCGCTATAAAACTCAACGTATCTTATGTACCCTTACACTTATGCGTATAATTTTTGTTTAAAATGTAAAGACAATACCGCTTTCCTTCTATTTCTTGCTATTATTTTATGTAACCTCACGGACGGGCGCAAACCAAATGTACAGCACACACCAACTTCATCTTAATTTTGTATAAGCCATTTTTCTACCCTATTCAGTCTATTATTTTTTTTATGCAAACACAGACATTTTCCATATATCTTTGTTTGCAGGGGGGAGCTATTATAGCGACTCACGTGCTAATGGGTTTATTTTCATTTAACCCAGTTAAGCCCTTTTTGTTAACTTATTTAGCGGACAAAGCCATCCGCGCTATAACAATTTATTGTATCCTTATTATTATTTTGCGCTTGTATGAAATACGTATGCTTGAATATTGATTACTGCCTACGCATTTATTCACTCTGCTAATCTTACCACTAACCGCTTATTCGATTCGATTACTCATTCATTTCACATGGTATATATATATGTCCATGTTATTCATATTGAACACAATCGCTCACTCGCTCGCACGGTCTCGTCACGCTCTTGCTCTGGCTCTCGTTCGCTTGCTTGCCTTTCGGCACAACTCTTCCATGCTTGTTTAACACATCTGTACATTTGGATATATGTGTGTGGTTTCTCAATAAACGTAATCGACACTTCGTATTTGCCTTCTGATTAATATACCGTTGGTACGTTATATAGAACGGTTATCGCGACGAACTGTATACGAAGTTTAAGGATTATATCAAATACCGACCACCACACATCTATACATATGTATGTACATTTATGTTCTATTTGGAGATTACAATTGATTGATCACTAGGTGGTGATCAGTGTCATGCTTGTCTAGTCCTTATTAGTGCAGATCGAATGCTATCGATCATGTCGCAATGTGGCCACCAGTCTAGGTGACTCGACACTGCGGGCACTATGTAATGAGATTTAGATGATGGTTGGAGGTAGTCAACAGGATCTCGTGTCACCCAGCTTCACAGTCAGAGGTAACGTCTTTGACTGTGAAGCTGGGTGACACGAGATCGAATCCGCCAGGGAGCACCAGTTCCCTCAAGATTACAGGTACACCTTGCTGACGAGTGCCAAGTAGCACGAAACCCGGGTCCAGGGTTTCCTGTTAACTACCTCCAATCACCATCTAAATTTGGAGATTAGAGGTATAAACACTGGGCAACAAGAATAGGTGGTCTTTAGCCTGGTTATTTTCTTCTTTAAATGGAAACCGTAAAGCAAAATACATTTTTGTTTATGTACAAGATTTCTAATGTGAATAAGAAAGATTATTCTATGATTCAAGTGTATTGGTATACATGTATTGTATGGTGGATGTTGTTGCATCTCGACGAGCCTAATGAATCGTAACTGTTTGGGATCTATTTATGATCTAATATTATTGTACAATTGTTAAGTAACTAAACTATTCATATTCATATTCCTCTTATTATAAGCTTTATTTTAATCAATGAACTATTACTATACGACTTACCATTCATGAGTTATGCCCTGTCTTTTAATCAATACCTCCCACATTCACAGCCACATTTGACCAAATCTTGTACAAATGTTGTTCCCTATTTTATAGTACAATGTGATCTGTCTGGTTGATATATAAACCTACTGTTTGAAATACACGATTCCTATTACAGAGGTTGAGATTGATGTTCTGGACTCAACAAGATGAGTAGAATGGCCGATAATGACTCTAAACTACTCGTACGGGTTTTATGCGTCATTGATCTGGTCGATAAATCACTGTTCTCTATTTGGCGATATATTGATAGGGGAATAGGGCCACACGTTATAACAGAAGTGTAATCAAAAATTGTTTCATTTTAGTACATGAGCATACTCTCGTATAAGGTGTTATCTAAAGTCTTGAATTCTGTTGAGTTTTCCTTGTGCACTGACCTAACAGGTGATTGATTGAGGCTTGAATGGTTCGGTGATAATATTTCAGTTTCTAATATTAATCAAAGTGCGTTTCAGACCTACAGATAATAGTAGTTGTGATGAAAATGTAACCAATTTCTTCTGATGAATTTCATGTAACCCACAAATGCCCTGGTACAGGAAGTATGAGGAGAGTCGGCTCTCCTTCTCGAAATGCTCTAACATGACCATGTACATACAACCACTGCCAGAAAAGTCAAACTCACTCTTTTCTCGCACTACAGGTGTCGTTTACGAAATTGAAAGGACGAAAAGCGAATATTTGGCAGGAGATTTAACCGGGTTGGTGGGCACGAAGGAGACACATAAGGAAGTTGGAAAACCTATATTCCAAACAAATGGAGCACATGGACTTCAGGATCCCGAGGGAGCAAATAGTGTTGGTTACTGTCTACCATGCGAATGCATCTCCTTATGTTGCTCCACTGACTTGTGTATCAGACCATTAGGTCGAAGACTCCGGATATGGCCGTCTAGGAAAACCACCTACTTCGTCTGTGCACGCGGACAGTGTCATAGTCCACATACAAATTAAGTGACTTGTGTGGCTCA